CATAAGTATTTGAACAGTGGCACAGTTTTTATATCAGGCAATGGAGATGTGATTGAAGTGCAGACTTTCAGTCCCCCATTTTCAGAGTCTCAAAAATAACTGGACTATTGACTGAGGACCTGTTTCATTGCTTCCTTGTTGTTTCAGGACAAATTAAGCAGATGATGAGACAAAGTCCGAATGTTCACTGGGACTCTCAATATGAGGTTCAAAGGGACACACACAAAATAAACCATCTCGAGCAGAGATGTCAAACTCCTGTGTGACTCTTTGGGCTTAAATTGTAAGAAAAAGTGTTTCAATTGAAGAAAGGTTTCAGCAGCTCCTTGTAATTCTAAAACAAAAGATTTTTATTAATATAAAGCTAAAAGAAAAAAACAAAACACCCTGAAATTTCTATAGTAATGGCCAAGATTGTACCTGAAGTTGCTCGATCCATTTATCAGAGTATGAATGTGTATATTAGAAAAAAGTGCTTGTATGACTTGGTGAATGGGGCGCGTTGTATAGAGTGCAAAGATAACTCAAAATAAGAATCAATCCATTTACTTCAAATTTTATGAGCCTTGGGAGACTTTGCCCTGGAATTCTGGTCCCCGTACGTTTGACACTCTTGCATTAGAGGGCTGAGAAACCCTTTGGGAATGCCCAAATTAACAATCAGGTTCATCCTTATAAAATGAATACACTGATGAGCTCAAAGTGGAAGATCACAAATTCACTCTGAGTTTGAGGTCAAAATAGATGCTTGTTACCCTTTTTAGTAAACAGCAGTTATACCAATGAAGCATTTGCTGTGGTTCAAACCAGATTGTCAAAGTTACATTTGGAGTAAACTGAATCACTTTGGGATTACTGATCTGTGGGTGGACTTTTTAAAACGTCTGCTCTGAAAAATTAGGTACCTCACAGAAGGTACAAAAATATTCAAGCTTGATGTTCACTGTAGGAGACTAAAGTAGTATTAGTCATTCAGCATACTTTTGTATTGACACTCCTCAAACAAACTGAAACAAACACTATTTAATCAGACTATTACATCAGGTCAGTTAAATAGCAGTGGAGGTTATTAATCCATTTCAGCTGCTTTGGTGTCAATGAAATTAACAACAAGTGCACCAGAGGGGCAGCAATGAGACAACCCCCAAAACAGGAATGATTTTCCAGCTGGAGGCCACTGACATTTTTCATGATTGTCCTTTTACTACTTTTGTATTTGGCTAGAGTCACTGTGACTAGTAGCATGAGGTGATACCTGGACCCTACAGAAGTTGCACAGGTAGTCCTCAAGGATAGCATATCAATATGTGCCATTGCCAATAGGCTGTGTCTCCCAGCACAGTCTCAGAAGCATGGGGGAGATTACAGGAAACAGAGAGTTACTCTACGAGAGATGGACAGGGCCATAGAAGGCCTTCAACCCATCAGTTGGACCAGTATATGCTCCTTTACAGGAGGAACCAGATGAGCACTGCCAGAGTGCTTTCAGCAAGCCACTGGTGTGAACATCTGACCGAACAATCAGAATTGGACTTCATGTGACCTGAGAGCCTCTAGTGCAGCCTGTGCTCACACAGGCACTGTTGCCTGGCTGCCATTTGCCATTGAATACCAGAATTAGCAAGCCAATCATTAGCACCCTGTGCTTTACACAGATGAGAGCAGGTTCAATCTGTGCTCATGGGACAGCAAGGGTCTGGAGAAGCTGTGGAGAATATTAAGCTGCCTGTACCATCGTTCAGCACTATCAGTTTGGTGGTGCTGAACGTGACAGTCCGGGTAGGCATATCAATGCAACGACACACAAACTTCTACAGGCAATAGCATCCTGACTGCCATTAGATATCAGGATGAAATCTTTGGACACATTGTCCGACTTTGTACAGGACTCACTCCCTGGTGCACAACTATGCCCACCACCATGTGGCGAGAGTATGTAGTCAATTCATGGAAAATCAAGGAATTGATACCATTGAGTGACTTAATCCATCACAACACCTTTGGGACATTGTTTCAGTCTCAGAATTCCAGGACCTCAGTGATGTCGTCTCATTAGGAGCATGCCCTGATGTTGTCAGGCATGCATAAAAGCACACTGGGGCCATACAAAATACTGATTAGCATTTTGAGTTACTGCAATTAAATCTCAGCAGAATGAACAAAATCCCTTTGATTATCGGGGTGTTTGATTTCAGCCCTCTGTGGACTGATCATTTTCATTTCCATCAAACAATGTGGCATCCTTTTTGTTCCTAACACATTACCCAGTCCATATCAGCGCAAAGACCTGATTTTTCCCCCATTGAGATCTGAAAAGTGTATATAAAAGCCAGTGTGTGCAATCCTTTACAAATCACATTTGAGTAAATGAGGTGAGAGACAGAGGAGTAAAGGAGACATGTTTATTATTTAAACTATCACTTAAATAAAAAAGTGCATAGAAAATAAACATGATTAGAAACTTTTCTTTTTACACTTATGTACAACTTTGTTTCCAAATTATACATTCAACCAAGTAGTTTGTGGTTTATTTTCACGGTGGTGGTTTTCCTTCATTTCGTTGATGTGTACAAAGAAAGATCGCCTGTTTTATGGGAGAAAATATGACTGCTGTGAATACCGTTATTACAGAGAGCGGGAAGAAAATGATAAGACAACGGCAGATAATCAAGGCGAAACAAACTAGCCCGTTCGTGATCCCTCTTTTTCACGTCCTACTGCGACACCGCAACCCACCCTAGGCTGATAACGTCTATACATGAGAAACAATCAGAAAAATTACAAATACAGGTTTAAGTACTTGTCTGACCTCTCCAAAACCTTGATTTGTAAAAGAACAATTCAGGGTGGATGTTGCACGAAATAAATAAATTAAATGTTTTCAACATCAGCATTATGACTTTCTACAAAAACAGTACATGATAAGTACAACCAAAAGCTTCATAGGAGAGAGAGATAAAGAGGTGGTCAGGGAGACGAGAGAGGTTTCCAATGTGAAAAAAAAACCTGATCAAAAAACCCCAAAAAAACCAAACAAAAACAAATAAATAAAAACAAAAAAAATTAAAAGGAAAACGCCATTTTGGTGGTATCTTTAAAATCCTGGTTAGCCTCCACAAACCCATCTCCTAATTTTTACCGCATCAAGTAAGCAGTCTAAAAAGTCCCTGTTAAAACATTAAAAAAACTAAATTTAAAAAATAATAAAAGAAAATGAAAAAAGAAAAAACATTCACTACAACAACCAGAAAAAATGGATGACCTCAAGAAGTTCACAACCACATTAATACAGTTACATTTCTCATCACATTAAAAAACAACAACAAAACAAACAAACAAACAAACAAAAAACTACCCCCCCCAAAAAAGTTCCTTTCCAGAAATAAAACAAAAAGAACTGCAACGCTCCCTGCTGCTGCGGAGGAGCGCTCACAGGCACAGCAAAACTGGTACTGGATATCAATATACAAAAGAGTGATGCACGTTAGTTTCAGCGGATAGTACTGTAACACAAAACCATTATAGAGTACATTGAAACATTGCTATTAACCATTATAAATCTGCTGTTTTTGCTACTGTAACTAAGTTTGTCTGTCCATTCCATATATTGTATAGATACTAAAGTACAAGAAATTACTATGCATGTTTCCGTATAATATTGTTAAGTATTTATACTATAATTACAGATAATGACGTAGAAGTGCCACTGGTGTGGCGTGGTAAAATGAAGACCAAAGAAACAGCAGACAGCTTCCTTATTTGTATCTATGCCGTTTTAAAAACGGTGAAATAAATGACTTGTCGTCAATAAACACACTCTGACCCTGAAAAAAGCAGAAGTGGCTCTCGTGAAGAGAGAGTCGTAGACAGAGCCCTTGGCGCCGGCCGACGCTAGCGTGAACTGTTTGAGCTAACCTGTTGTCCTACAGACAGAAAAACACTGCCCGCTGTTTTACGCCTCAGTGTTAATCCCAGTGCTGAAATGAAACTGCTCCCTGGCTTTGAGGTCGTATCGACATGTCTTCCACATCTATCAGGGGTTGCTGACACGACAACTTAACAAAAAAACAAACAAACAAAAAACAAACAAACAAAAAAAAGCAACAAAAAAACCCCTAAACGAATATAGCTGACAAAGCATCAACATCCACCCACGTTGGGTGATGTGGAGGAAGAATATACATTCATCGTTGACCTTTAGCAGCAGAACCCAGCGAGCCCGGATGTCAGTGTAGGACTGCGTACGCCCGGCTGGCCCGCCGGCGGAGGCGTCGGGGCTCTCGGTGGGAAAGGCGCAGCCGAGGTTTGTACACGCCACACCGTCAGGAAGGAGAGGGCTGCTGGTGTGGTCCCTGCCTTCACTTTGTTGAAGTAAAACAATAAAAAATTTAAATAAAAACAGAGTCAAGTGCACTTTGCTAGAGCCTCAAACACCACTGTCGGAGTCATCAACACCAATCCATAAATTTGAAATATCAGGGCCTGTCGCACAAACTCAGAGACGGTCTGTGCTTCTGGTTTCAGTATTGGGAGCTTTTCCTACGCCTGTTCAGTGCCTGTGTCACAGCTAAAGTGCAACCCATTTTAGCTTCACTTTTACAAAACCAAATGAGAGGGTGGTTGAGGGGCGAGCCGCTAACAACCTTAAAAGGCGACAATGAAGTCACAATGACGAATCCTTAAAAGGGACAAACGGAGCAATTGGCTTCAGTCGCTCAGTGGAACCAGTCACTCTCTGTTTAAATACTCTGTTTAGGACGTGAAGGCTTTTAAGAGAGAAGAGGCATTTACGAACTGAGGTGAACCACGAGGAGACTGGATGAAGGTATAAGAACGATCTCAGATTGCTGGTGAGCATTGAAGAGCAGTCACCACAACACCATGCTTCTTTTAATGTATACAATGGCTCTAGTAGGATATGATGAGTGCTATAGGTAGCATTAAAATAAAGGCACCTCTTCATTATAGCCAAAGTCTTCACAAGGACATAACGCCTTAAACTGACGGGAATCTTTGTGGGGTTTTTACATGTCAATATTTCATATATTGCCAATCGGCTGCAAGCCTATCGACCCTTGGCTCATTAGTGACTGAACCACTTTGATAGAATCGCCTCCATGAGGGCTCTATCCTCGGTTTGATGTGGTGTGGAGACAATAAGGCTGGAGAGAGGAGAAGTCGGCTATGGATCAACAATCTAAACTCTCTCTCTCAAGTGCATAATAGTAGTTCACATGACTGCCATACTGTCAGCTAGGACTGGAACAATTAAAATAATAATAATAATAATAATAACAACAACAACAAAATAATAAAAAAAAATGTCAGCTCTGACCAAACGGCCCAGGATAGATAAAAGAGCTACTGGTGGACTGAACTTAAATGGGGACCAAGCCATAGATAGACCAGCATCAGTCTTTGGAATCAAAGAAAACATTCAGGGTACGAATTTTAAAAAGAAAACAAAAACAATTATTAAAAAAAAAAAAAAAAAACTCTGGAAGGCAGCGGGATACAAAACATAGAGACCAAGTATTAGTGTTTGTAAACCCCTATTTTCTACAAAAATGGCAATAAAATAAATACAATTTTTTAAAAATATAAATACCATCATTAAGTGCTATTCACTAGTGAGTGCTTTTAAGTTTTTTTTGTAGAAAAATATACATTATTTACATTTATTTTTTTTAAAAGCAAGCATGATATTTCCCTGTCCATAATAAAAAGACAAAGAGACAAGACTTTAGAAGACTTAATACAAATAAAAAAGAAATAATTTTTTTCCTCTTTTCTATCAGTATGTTTATCACAACAGGCCAAGAAGAAAACAAGCCGAGTGAAAAATTCAATTCAAGGGCGCAAAAGTTTGGTTCTCTTTGCTGCTGTAATTTGGAAAGTGACTCAAAAGTCCAAGCTTATACGATTACCCGAACGAGTTTGATAACAACAACAGCATGCACAAACTTGCAGACGTCTCTGCATCTGGAAAAACAGGCCCCAATCCCACAAAAAAAAGAAAGATCAATTATAAATACGTCTACTCAAGCACATCAGTAGGTTTCTCTGGTCCCTCGGCTGTCAGTCCACCAGAATCTCTAGCTGCCTCGCTCTCTCAGGCCAGAGGCTTCATCTCACTTTCATGTAGCTACCAAGCTGTCAGACTGAAAGTCAATTTTAAGATGGTATCAACCTCAGATATCATCCTTTACACAAACTGACAAAAACAAATCTTTTTCTCCCTTCTTTGTTATTTCCTCTCTTCCTTCCTGTGGCGACTGCTCCCCCTAGTGTTTCAACCTGTACGGCTCTGATCAGGCTGCCATACACGAGCAGCTCCTATTTACAGTGTTAAATGTACACACCCACACACTTTTATTTTCCTTCTTCTTCTTTGGGAAAACAAAAAGTCAGATTAGGGGAAGGTTCCAGTAAAATCACAACAATTCTGAAGGCATCGGGGCACATTCAGACGGGGAGATGTGCATCAATAACAGCTGACACTTAGATCAACATGAAAAATAAAAGAATTTCTAACAATTTTCTAATTTTTACCTTTAGTAAAAGTCCCTTCAACAAATTGCACTTTGGTGTAAAATTGAACCAAGTTCTTTGATTTTTTTTTCCTTCTGTGTTCACATCTGAGCACAAGTAGACCAAAACATTTAGAAAATTAAGGAGGATGGGCCAATGCATAAAAACAAAAATATAAATAAATTATGAAGGGGGAACTTTCTGACATGACTTTCTGACTCACCTCTGAGTGCCAAATGAAAACGAGACATAAGGAGGCACAATATGTTGGTATTTCTACAAATGGCCCGTCCTCCCAAAAAATGGCCCTTCCTGCATATACAGTGCAACCGACAGCTGCTGAGCCTGCTGTGCTCAAAACCATCAGCGGAGGGCGCCGACGGAGCTCCTGGCCTGCTCGCAGCTGTGGTCCATCATAGACCGGACGCATGAAATCGCCACAAACCCGCGTGCTGCGGGTCATTGTGGTGCTTTTGCTCAACAGTCCTCGTTAAGGTCCTTCAGGTACGGGCATCAGTTGAGGAACTTGCGACACTTCTTTGCGCCGCAGTTGCACGGCAGCTTGTTGCTGGCGTCCTCGATGGGGAACTTGTAGTCATAGGTGAGCTCTTCCCCGCAGTAGATGCGGCGCGAGGCGAAGATGACGATGTGCTTCTGGCAGTCCACGGTGATCACCCGGGAGTAGCAGTTGGGCTCGCAGGAATGGTTGATGAAGCGGGCAGCGTTACCGTGCACCGTGGCATCCACCACCTCGTAGTCATCGATGCGAAACATGTAGCAGCCAATGCCCTTTGAGGAGAGAGAGGACAGTTTGTATAAATAATCGAGTTAAGCAAATGACAAAATCAGCGGAAATCGTTCAAGTCCTCACCTTCCCATCGTAGTATTTCTCCCGTTTGTCAGTGAGCACAGACCGAATGACGTTCCCCGAGTATTCGATGACCATTTCTCCTGCTTCGATGGTTTTCTTGCAGAAGAGGCCGCGGCCATGGATAGGAGACCTGACGGGAGGATCATAACAGTGGACAGGTCTCAAAATTAAACAGGCAGTTATCTGTTATTTATCTGAGCACTGAAAAACAGCTGATAATAATAAAAATGATGACACAGATTTAACACCACTGATCTAACCTGTAGACTCCCACAGTCTCCTTCGAGGTGGCCTTGAGCTGTTTGAATCTCACAGCAAGTGGAAGCTCCGTGGAGGCACGTCTGCAAAGGGAAAGAATCATGAATGTAATATTACATTTCTTTCTTTTTTTAAATAAAGCATAATCATTTTTACAAAAAATGAGTTTTTATTCACCTGGCAGTCCTGAGCTGCACTTCATCATCATCGTCTTCCTGCGGCCTATACTCAGGAGGTTGGCGATGTTTTGAGGCCAAGAAATTGAACATGTCGAATACTGACCTCCTGGTGGAACAAACAAGAATCTCAATAAGCAAAGCCGCAGAAACAGTTATCTGTACGGTTTATTAACAGCGTGCATTATATAAAGTGCCATTTCTGCTCCGACTGACTTCTGGTTTCCTGACACATGCTCTACAATTTCATGGTCAGAAGGTGTGTGTGTGTACCATACTGACCTGTGGTGGACTTCTGCACGAGCCGAGCCGTGGGGGTTGATGGGAGGATCGTCCGTTTCCTCCGGTTTGTGGAAGCGGAAGCGATAGCTTCGACAGTGCCTGGTGCCGTACAGCTGCTCCAACAGGAAGACTACAGCCTCATGGACGACCCCGAGCATCCTCAGTCCGTTCACACCTGGAAGGAGCAGAGAAACACCTTAATCATGAGGCTTTATTCAAGCATATATGTAAAGTACCTCTAGTTATTAGTTCTACGCTTTTAAAATTACACCTCACCTTCAAAGGAGAGCTTTTTGAGTCGTGCACTGGAGCGAGCTTCCTGCACTTTATCAGTGAGGGATTTCCAGGCCTCTGTAGGGAAACAGTCGGTATTTTATGCCCAGTGTGTGGTTTAGTTTTTGCAGACTTGATTAAAACATTTTTAATTTTTATCACAAAAGCAAATTAAATTTGAATTAGTTTTGCCAAAGCAGGCGCTACAATCAGTTGTTTTCTTTTACCTTCAATACTCTCACAGCGGATGTGGAACCCGTCCTCACTGCAGATTTCAAAGATGATACCCTTTTTGGGTTTACTGTCTAAACCGTTATCCCTGCTGTTGCCATCCTGGTCGGGCGGTGAGGTCACAGGAAGAGAGCCTGTTCCTCCAGCGGCATGAGGTTTGTCTTTTCCCACCACTTTCCCTGGTAAAACGTGTCCTTCGGATGTCTTCTTTTTACCAAGTACACTAGAAAAGATGCGAACCAAACATTAAAACTATACCGTATGACGATTTTGAAAACAGGTGACTACTACTGATGCTTCATACCTCTTGTTGGTCGTCTTTTCCGGTGGCTTTCCTGTGTCCACTGGCTCAGAGGAGATCGGCTCTTTGGAGCTGGTTGGGGAGAGGATGGGAAAGGTTGGAATGTTTTTGCATTTTACTGAACAAAAGTGGTTTGCTTGAACAGCTGTTACGTGGTTAAGTCAAACAGTATAGCTATGATAAATAGAGCAACCATCATCAATAAAGAAGTTCAGTCCAGTTGACATATTTAACTTCTGTGTCTGAAGATACACTGAAAACTATTCTGTGCAAAAAAACAAACACACAAAGCCCACATTCATTTAGGAGAGACGTCTGAAGAACACAACATACTTTAACCATTTGTTCCACAAAGAAATGAATCCCAAACTTAGATATTTTTTCAAATATTCTGAACACAGTCAAAATTGAAATTTCTTCCCATTATTGCGGTACGTGAAAGTAACATAAAAATGATTTCTTGGCTACAAGTCACAGGTCTGTTAGTGTCTCACCTTGGGTTAGAGGATGGGTGCTGTCCTGCAGGGTTGCTGAAATGTTCCTCAGGCAGAGAGGCCTTAAGCTTCTTCCCGCTGCTTACATCTAGACTCTGCCTGCTCCTCTTCCCCTTCTGTTTGCCTTTCTCTGCTCCTGAAACTGCAGCTGCTGCTGACACTACTGTGGAGGTAGGTGGCATATGCTCTGATAACTTGGAAATAGGAGTTGTTCTAATGCTCTGGGAGTGCATGGATGTCTGTGTTTGCGTGAACACTCCAACAACACGTCCCTTGGTGGGACTTAGAGGGGTGGATGGAGCAGGCGCTAAAGTAACAGTGCTGTTTGCACATGAGTCCACAAGCTGGGGTCTGTTAACGGGTTGAGACTGATGTTGTAAGTGAACACTGCTGGCGTCTGTCTCTCCTTGCTGGTTGACAGCCATGCTGATAGTCTGTTGGGAGGGCAGGACGCAGATGCTGCTAGCTATTGATGTCTGAACAGGGGAGCTTAGCTGTGACATCAGAGGTGCTCCTCCTGCTGACTGAAGGACCACAGACTGATCTGACAGGCCCAGGGCGTGTGGACTTGCTTTAAAAAGGAGGTTGCTAATCTGCCCTGTGATCTCAGTTGAGCTGAGAACAGGGGTGGAGAGTGATACTGATCCTGGGGCAAGAAGTCCAGCTGCGCCACTAGGGGGAACAGACACAACATTTAACACTGACTGGCTGGGGTTCAAGCCAGAGACTGAGCAAGGTAGGAGATGAGCCGAGGAATCGTGGCTCAGGATACCAGGCTGGGCAGTACCAGAAAGCCTCTGCTGAAGGAGAGTAGTGGGATCTAAGTACATCACTCCGCCGGATTTTGGTCTCTTGATTATATTGGGAATCTTGCGTTGAGAAGTGGAGAGAGTGCTTAACTCAACTAAGCCACCAGGTTGACCGGGGATGCTAGCAGTAATCTGAGGGGAAGACAGGTTGATGAGGGTCATATTGGGAGGGCCTACTTCAGACGGGGCCAGAGTGGGCTGGTTACGGGAGCGCCCTGACTTTTTGCTTTTTCTTGGCAGAAGACGAGAAATGGGCCTCTTCTTGCCATGAGCAGAGGCAAGTACAGTCGGGGAAGAGGTGAGAGAGGACGGACTCGACACTATGGCAACACTGGGACCCAACTCGTGTGGTCGACCGGCCTCCGAGACCAGAATCTGGGACTGGTCGTGGGACTGAGACGGCAGACCAATGAGAAGTCCTGAGGTGGTGCTAGGGATCCCTGTCTGAAAGCCTGTCTGTGTGGGTCCTGTGAAGGTGTGAATCTGAGAGGGGTGAGGCATGGTACCCAGAACTTTGCCCCCAGCGGGAAATATTGATTGGGTTGAAGACAAGCCAGTATTTAACCCCGTGGTAAGTGTCATGGAGCTTAGCACTGTAGGCGAGCTAGAATCCATCACTCCTGTTGCACTAATCTTTTGGGTGACACCATTAGGGACAGTCTGGAGGACATAGAGAGGCTGGAATTGTTGGTTGACTACAATAAGCTTATCAGGACCTGGTTTGATGACTGCTGGGCTGGACACTTGAGCCTGGGAAGGTCCTGGGCCTGGTGCTGGACTGGCGCTGCCTGCAGCTGCTGCCGCTGAAGTCGGGAGGTATTTCTGACCCTGAAGAGGCAGCGAGGGTGAACTTGGCAAGCCGGGAGTACCAGAACTCCTTGGAATATCCTGGTTAGCTGGTGCCTCAACTACCTGGCCAATAGCAGGGCTAGGAATAAACTGCTCAGGAGTCATATGACCTTCTGAGACCTGCGTATCCCTGTTTGCCAACGACGTACCATCGTGCTGATTCTCTGATGGTGACACGCCTGGCCCTGCTCTCTTTTTGTCCCCACTCTTTTCCCCGCTGATGGTCTCTGTGTCCGAGTTCAAGCCCAGCATGGTGCGGTCTGAGGTATTTGAGATGAGACTCCCAGCGCTGTGGTTCTGACTGGTGCTGACAGTCGGGCTGCGTGTGGTCAGGACAGAGAGGTCAGACGGCAGCTCCAAAGGAAGATACGGCTCCTCCACAGATATTGAGCTATTCACACTACTCTCTACGACCCCTCCGCTTTCCGCACTGGGCAGCGGCTCGGAGAAGTCATCAAACAGAATGTCTTTACGTCTGTTGACATCCACTCCAACATAGCTCTCATCCAGCAGCAGCTCAGAAGAAGATGGCTCAGACTGCTGACCCAGAGCTGGCAATGACATAGAGGGGGTGTTCAGGACAAACTCCATGATATCTGATGGCAAAATGTTCCCACAGTCATCGCTGTTGTTGTTGTCAGAGTCAGATTTAAGCAGGTCTGTGCTGAGGGACAGCTGGGCCTCGAGAGGATCCTGACTCTGCGGCTGGGACTTGACCCCACCTCCGAGTGGAAGACAATTTTCCTTCTGGTTTTTTCTCCCTTCTCGGGTGTTTCCACTAACTGCTCCGCCACTGCTGTCTGCCTCTTTGCTTGACTCGTGGGAGTCGGCCTTCTCAGTGTGTCTCTCTCTGCCTCTCCTCTTGGGAGTGCTTTTATGTGTGGTGGAAGAGGACGTGGCTGTAGTGGTTGTGGTGCTGGTGGTGCAGATGCTGGTATCACTCTCCGACCCATCATCGACGCCATCAAGCTGGCCGATACGCTGCTTGCCCAAGGTCCTGTTAGGCACAGCAAAGCACACATCAGATTATCAGAGACAAGGAGATATTTCAGATATTTCACTTCATAAAAAATGTGTCTACTTACAAAGCGCTCAGCATGTCCTCTTCCGCTTTTTGCTGAGCCCTTCGTTGCTGCTGCTCCTCGTCCTTTAGAAAACGCTGAAGCTGGGATCCCCTTCCCAGACACTGGTCTAATCCTTCTATAGATGGCAGGCCCTCACCAGGGTTAATTATTGTTCGAGTGAAGTTGTAGTAATAAGGATCCTTACCCCTATGTTTCATTCCACTGTCTTCATCCTCGCCACTGTCTCCAGATGAAGACGTGGTGCTCATATCGTCCGCTCCATCGACCTGCCCCTCAGCTGACTTCTTGCGGCCACCCGTCCTCCTCTTAACCACAGTCCCAGCTCCGTCACCGCTGCCATAAAAAGGAAGGTCTTCCTCACCATACGAGCGAACCCCATAGAAAGGCGTGAGGCCGAAAAACATGTTGGAGCGTGCGCGTGCGCTGCGTCGAGGGTAGCGCCGCTTGGCCGACCCTGATCCGTCACTGTCATCTTCGTGATGTTTATCCTCCATACCCCTGTCATGGTCATCTTCGGGGCCAACGCCCTCATCCTCAGTGCCTTGCACGTGGAGACCGCGGTGGTCTCTGAGCTCTCCGCGTGGGCGCTCTTTATGCAGTTCCTCTTCCTCTGTGTGAGTCTGGGTGTCAGATTCAGAGCTGTCACTGCTGCTGGCAGAGGAGAAAAGAACAGTACATGCGGAGCGATGACCCCCCTGGCCAGCAGGAGAGACTATGGGGGCAGTGGTCGTGGGGCAGGAGGATGAAGAAATACTAGTAACGGTGGTGGTCCCATTAGGGTCACTCTTAATATCAGTCTTTAGTGGAGCTGTAGCTGGGGATTTAATTGATCGCTTCTTCTCTCTGGAGGACAGTGAAAGCTGGTTAGTTGCTTGCTTGCTGTGAGACTGTGAAGAGGTCTTCATAGTCTGGTGCAAGTTGTCCAGGCTGGAACTGTTCTTCCTCTCTGGACAGGAGTAACTGTCTCTGTTCTTTGAGGATGACCTGTCCCCACCCTGGGTATCATGCTTCTCTCCCTGAGCCTTCCCATGGCCTTTGGTGCTGTTTCCTAGCATTGGAGCTTTGCTTTTGCTGCTGTTGTGGGAAGTAGGGTTGGTAGCGTGCATGTTGGAGCTGCCGGCAGCTTTAGCATTATTGTTGAGAAGGGGAATCTTGTTGCTGATGTTGACGTTTTGAAAGGTCTTCTCTCTGTCACGGTCTTTGGACACGTCTCTGCTGCCTGCTGTTTTAACTTTGGGGTGTTTATCTTTGGCAGCTGAGGCTGCAGCTGGAGAGGCCAGGTGCACGGAGCCTCGTTTAACAGCATCATCCTCCGCTGACGTCCTCGAAGGCCACAGAGGCTTTGCGGTCGCTGCCGTGCCTGAACCTGACGAGCACTCATTTGATTTCCGTGTACTGGACTTCTGAAGTGGAGGTTGTGGGGAGCCGGATTTTCCAACAACAGAGTCCTTATGGAGTGATGATGATATTAAATTTCCAGTGCTGCTACTACTCTCCTTCCCTGAGCTGGGCTTGTCCTTGTTCTGGTTATTGTTGGACGCTGGGCTGGACCTCTGACGAGGCAACAAACTGAGGCTTGCAGAAACATCCTGATCTTTGCTTCCATGTTTCCCTTGCTTGTCTGTCTGCTTGGTGCTGCCACTTCTCTGCTGGCTTGTGTGAACAGCAGTGCCAACGGGAGGGGAAGACTGGCCTGAGCCTGCAGGTCCCAGTCTTGGGTTCTTACTCTCTCCTCCAGAGTGTTTAGACTGGCTGTTTGTGTTACTGTCCTTCCCTGAGCCAGAGTCTTTGTTTCTCTCTGTGCTTCTATAACTGGAATCTCTAGACGGAGGTCTGCCCTTGTCAGCATCTCTGCTGGATGATCTGTCTTTACCTTGGCCTGAGTCTTTTCCTGTTTCCCTGCTATATAGTCTATACTTTTCAGAGTCCCGTAGTCCTGTATCTCTATTCAGTGACCTACCTTTGTCCATATCCTTATAGCTGGGATCTCTAGAGGATGACTTACTTTTGTCAGTTTCTCTAATGCTTGATTCTCTGCTCGCCTGTTTTCCCTTCTCAGTGTCTCTGTTTGTTTGTCTCCCCTTTTCGGAATCTCTTAAATGATCTCTACTGATCGGTCTGCCTCTGTCAAAGTCTTTCAGACCAGAGTCTTTACTCAGCGGCCTCCTCTTTTCTGGCTCTTTGGTTGACATTTGGTTCCGGTCAGAGTCTTTCTGCCCAGGTTCTCTGGATGATCTACTCTTGTCAGAATCCTTAGAGTCGAGCTCTCGACTCGGGAGTCTCCCCTTGTCTGCTTCTCTCGTCGCTTGGTCTCGGGAAGGTTGCTGTTTGTTTCTGTCCGAGGAGAAGTGTCGACCTCTTTCTTCGTCTTTTTGAAGTGGGCTCCTTGCTGAGTCTTTGCTGAAGTGTTTGGACTTTTCGGGGTCCCTGGCGGGGGAGGGAATGAGTGGAGGGGGTGAGGTCAGGGGTCGTGACAAAATGTGAGATGTGGCGGTGATTCCTCTCTGTCTGTTAAGGTGCTGGGGCGGAGGGGAGAGGGAAGGCGAGCTGTGACGACGTGAATCAATATTCCGCGTACCGGGATTTACCAGGGAGTCTCCCACTGTCACAATCTCATGACTTTGGGGCTGTGAAGAACCTCCTAAAATAAAAGAAATGAACTGTTAAATTCAGACTAATTAAGCCAAATAATCTGTTTGAAATCAAAGTTTTAAGTGAAAAAAAGGCTGCACATTTGTACCTGGAGATGGCATGGGACGAGGACCTATTGACCGTTGACAAGGGGGGTAGCTGGGATGTCGGTTCCTGGTGTAAACCCTGAGCTTGGGGGTATTGGCAGGGGAAAGTGTGTCAGAGCGCCTTGGTGATTCAAATGGATCAGGAAAGTCTAGAAGTGAAAAAGAAAGAGAAATGCATTAGCACATTATAGCTCTGAATATGGTTCTCACTGTAACACACACATTTCTGAACTATGTTACCTGTTAAGGAAGGTGGGCTGTGTGCTATTGTGCGATTCTCCTCAGGAGCCATCATGTTCTTTAGATCAGAATCTGCCACTGGAGGGTGACAAACTAGGATCCTGCAGGTATACACGCAGCGTTTTCGTGCATCTAAAGTACTCCAGTACACCCTCGAACACCTGCAAAGACAATTTATTTAGTTGAGCAAAGTTGGCAGCTTCCTTCGCCAATCAGCAATTTAACTGCACAGAGCAAAATAACGCTGGCTTTTAAAACAGCAAAAAGACTTTAAGATAAAGGTTCAAAACAACAACAAAACTCACTGGTATCCCACAGGAAAGAGTTTCCGTTTGCAGTCTGAGAGTTCAGTTAGTATTCCCAAACAATCAATTGCCATCGAGCCTGAAATGAAGATATTTAAATCAGCGGTCAGCAGAGCAGGAACTGTGAAAGGTCAGGGAAATGTCACAAAAGAATGTACGAGCAATCAACCTACCAATCATCATGTGGACATTTTCAGGCTCCAGTCCTGCCAGCCACTTCCTCCTGAGATTAATGCCCTCCATGTCCACCAGGATCCTGCGGGTCACCTCAAACCCAGACACCACCTCAAGAAAAAGTACATAAACAGAAAAGGTAAAGAGAGAACTGAGAATCTAAAGTCAAAGCTCTGGCATCGCATGGTTTATCCACGCAAAACACCTAAGTGTGCTTTTAGTGATATATAATGAGATTTCCTTACTTCTCCTTTGATGAGGTCCCTGTGCTTTGGACAGTAGACTTTTTTATCTTCCAGGAAGCTGCAGTGGCACTGGCGGGCACACATGAAGTGGTAGTTACTGGTGCAAGAGGTAAGGCAGCAGCTAACGGTGGCTCCTGGCTTTTGACACTTCTCACACCGCTAAAAGAAAGTACAAATTGTAAGCGTCCAATAAAGGTGCACTGAAAAAGAGTGGAAAATTATAAAGAACTAAGTGTTCTGGTTTACCAGCTGTTTTCCCCTGAGAACAGCCATATGAACATTTTTCAAAGACCCGTCATCATCCTCGAAGACCTCTGCGGACCACAGAGCACAATTCACATGGGACCACTCATTCTGACCGATGTACAGCAGCCTGCCTCCCTCCTAAAACAAAGAAAAGAGTGAAAAGTAAGAAAGACTCAACCATGCGGTCTGCGTCCTGAATTTTGCTGCTACCGGTAAGGCACTCACATTGGTGTTCTCGTCTCCATACTTCAGGCACAGGACGCACTGCCTGTTATCTGTGACGCCTGGTGGAGGAGGGAGCTCTGGGCTGTCCTCGCGATCTGGAGAGAAAGCAAGAATTCAAACACAGCTTGAATCTATATGAAAACCAGTCGACAAAGCAGCGTGCAAAACAGCAAGCATGCAGGCATTAGTAACATATTTGTAGTCCGCCTTACCAGGCGAGAGTAGGGGCGGTGGGAGTATAGAGGGAAGTAGCGGAGGAGAGGAGGCCGGAGAATCAGGTTCGCCGGGGGTCTTGGGCTGGGGAGCAGGGATAATCTTCTTCATGAAGTGTGGGTGCTCAGCACGGGAAAGCTCCTGTCTCTCCTGCCACTGGGCGTAGTTGTGGTCTAGGGACGGCGGCAGCACAGCATTGGGGAGGAGCCCACTGCTGTGGAACAACAACAGAGACGGGCACCATTACCTGCCAACCTATCAGCAATGAAACTGATTGGGGGGGGAAGCACATTTATTTTTGTTTTGTTGCAAATGACCCCATGTCACATAAGCAACTGATGACAAAATATGATCACGATTTGTTACATGGGTTTAACCCCATCCCCCACCCCCCCCACCAAAGATATAGCAGATGATGTGGACAAATAATGTTGGGTTTTTAAATAAATAAATGTAAACCATCTGCTTCATTAAATCAACACAAGTTATCGGCAAACGGTGAGAAAAAGCCTTTTATTCCCGTTCATGTGTTCTTTCTGATTCATTAGTTGACTGCCACATTTAGGTCATTGCCGTTGGAATATATTGTGTGACAAGTAATATCTATCCCTATGGTACAGATGATATGATGGAGCTGTTTTTTTTAAGATACTAAAAAAATAAATAAAGTCTGAGCAGCAAGTGAACAGTGACACCCATGTTAAATAACCACATTCGAGGAGTTCTGCCAAGTCAAGAAAGCCTGGGTAATTGGTGTGATGTAAAGTCTCACACTTAATAAGCCAGCAGAAGCTTCTAAAAGCAAATCCACCCAGCAATGGCCACAGGATACAGAAGAATCATTGGTTTCCTTGACTGGAGCACTGATAAATAACACAATGAACTAAACTGACAAGCAAACCGCAATTAGACCACAAGTATTTATCAGCGAGTCTTCAATTGAAATATGACACTGTTATGGTTACCCCCTCAAACAATGCCCGAAGGCAAAGCAGAAGAAATAGTCTGAGAAAGCAGAGCGACTGAGCAAGTTGGTGAATGGATATGTGTCAGAAAAACTCCAACATGCAGAGCAGTAAATTTCCATCAACTGTCTATTTAAAGACTGAAAAGTTAGGGGGGAAAGTCAACTTGTAGCTATTCCCTCTAAAAATGTCAATGTTCTTCTCTCTGTACACATGAGGACAAAGTATTTAAATTAAAAGCAGGGGATTTTAAACATAGCATTTCCAAATGCACTAGTTTTTTTCAGAAAAAACACAATACTAGAATTATTTCAGGGAAAAAAATAATTACCAGGTTCAGTATTATTAGCCCAAACCACAAACCACTGCTGTAAAGTGATGGGATTTAACTTTGCAATGCTCAAAGCTTGTAAAATCAAGTTTCTTCTCAACCAAAACTCAGGATCATCTTCCAAATAACACACAATATAAAAACATCAGCAAGGGTTTGAACTGTAACTTCATGTCAAAAACTAAAGAAATCAGTTTAGACTTCAGAAAAAGAACTGTTGATGCTCACAAAGCAGGAAACAGATATATAAAGTCACCACAGTGTTTCCAAGAGTGAGAGGTATCATCAAGAAATTCAAGGAGAGCCAAACAGAACAGATCCAGCCTGGCAGATGTAGGAAGCAAAAGATTTCACACTACAAAAAGACTGCAGGTCTGCAAATTTGCAGACCAAAAAAACCCTCAAATTCTGCATAAAGAGACACTTTTGCACCAGACTGAAGTATATTAAGAAATCCTTTGGTAGGATGAGAGTAAACTAGAGCACTTTGGCCACAAAGACGATGATTATATTAGGAGAAAGAAGCGAGAGGCGCACAACCCAAAGAAAACGGTCCCTGGAGTGAAGCACGGTGGTGGGAGTATGCAGTCACCAAAAAACCCCAAAAACCTGGGTCTGGGTTGTTGCTCTGTCTTCGACCGACGACCCAAAACATCCATCCCTCTTGGTGAACGACCTCCAGAAGACCAAAGTGAATGTTACTAACTGGTCTGCAGGCTGCTATCAGGCCAAAATGACTGACTATTGACTATTAGCATCGTGGGAGCAAATAATTCTGACCCTGATCATTTTTGGTTTCTGTGAAATTATTTTGTTCCTGTGTGGAAAATAAAAGTAGGATGTTTGGAAGTGCTGTGTTTCAAAATCCCATTAAAAATGATCACAGGGGGGGAAATAATCCTGTCCTTATCTATTAATAATATTAGTTCTTCAGTACAATAACAATAATATTAATTCTTAGTACAAAGGCATGACATGCTCATATGTTTCAGTGACTGGAAATAACTACAGTTTATCTCTGTGATCCTGTCTTCTTCTGTCTTTAAAAACAGCACCAGGTATTGTAAGAATACGGATCTATTATACTGACAGTCTATTTGATTCTACTTTCATCACTTGGTGTCTAGAGGGTTAATTAGATCAGAGAAAATGCTGAATCTATTTTATTACTGTAGCTTTAATATAGCCTGGGACCTTTAACAGCCACTGCCAGAAGGAAATGTTGTATCAGCGATATTCTCCACTCAATCATCAGTTGATCAAGTTGTTAAAAAAAGTCTGGATTGAAGTGTTTTAGATCCCTATGTTTGAAAACAACAAAACGATTTCCTTTACCAATCAACGAGACACACAGACTATCACATGACACCGTGATCTCGGCCCTTGGTTTGCATTTTCATTAAATATCTCGGTGAATGTTTGTACAGCGAACCCACACGTTTTATTCTTTTCAGTTCACAGCGTTCTGGTTCCCTCCTATATACAGATGATGATACGGTGCCTCCCAAAGAAACCACATCTTGCTCCTCATTTCAATAATTACAGACCAGCAGCTCTTGAAAACTGCAGTTCTCTGAGGTTTTTGGACAGGCTCGCTTTACACGAGTATTAAAGTGAAATCTTCTTCTCTGTAATTACAAACATAACTTGCAATACAAGTTTAGAAAATAGTGGCAAATAAAACACTTCACACAGTATATTAAGACTGAAAGCACTGCCTTCTGGGTGGCATTGCTTAGCTACTGAATTTCAGATTTTGCTCATATTAGTCTGAGCTCATTTTAACTTCATTTTAGCAAATCTTTTGTTGGTTATTTTAAATGCATTTAAATAATTATTATTATTAGTGCCAATACGAGCCACTCGGAACAGGTAGTGAACACTCGTATGAGCTCTTGCATTTGCTAAGGTATAACGACGGACACTCACTTGGCAGAGACTTTTTGGCTTTCCCAGAATCTGGACTCTTTCACTTTGAACCATGGAAAGGTTCGGTCCATTTGCTGAAACAGAGAATGAATTCCATTAACATTACACATCAGCCTACTCAAGCACTTGTGCAGACCTGCATTTGGAAGCGATTGTGAATGTCGTTGGCGCGGCTTTAACTCGATTAGGACAATTAACCTGTAACTGATGAAGGAAGAAGAAAACGCTTCTCACAATGTCTACGTAAACGTGTGTTTCGCTGTTGTCATTTAACCTCATTTATGCTTGCTGTGTTTCCAGCCGTGCCGTGAGACTTGAGCTGATCTGAGCTTCTTACCCGGATGAAAAAGCACTTGACCATGCTGTTGGCTTTCCTGCTCTCAGGTTGGCCTCCGTCACTGTTGATGGCTGTCTGAATGATTCGCACGATGTCATCGCTAAACTCCAGCTGGGAGAGAAATGATGAACACAAATGGCACACAATTAAGCTAATGAACATCGGTGGAAAGGACATTATCTCAGCCATCTGTGTTAATTTCCCATTACACAGCACAGGTCTGACCAGGGAGTCAAGATGTGGCTACACATAGCAGATTAAAATCAAATATCAAACATGCTCTAAAGTATGGCTGGGCCATATCATACCGTTCACGGTAATATCGGTGTAATTTTGGGCAACGATAGGAAAATGAAATATCGCGATAGGATATGGGTAAAACACGCATGCCCAGTGCCTTTGTTTACATACGCACATGGCGGCGACGCAGAATGAGAAGAGCGAAAGTGGATTAAATGAAACGGATGAAGCAGAATTGGTTTGTTAAAATGCTGCAACTTCAGTGGTGTGGAACTGGTTTAGCTTTCGTCCGTCAGATACACAACAAAGCACTATTTTTGGTAGAGCATGCTAGCGGGCCGTCGTTATTACTGTGTTGTTTGGAAAATACAGCACACTTAAAATCAATCGTGTTTGATTTTTCTGAAAATCGACAGTGCCCCTTATAATCCCGTCTGCCTTATGTATGAATTCTGGTTGTGTTTACTGACCTCGAAACGATTTTATGTACACGGCGCTCGAAAATCTGTCAAATGTTTTAGTACGACTTTGCTAAGCTACGAAGCTGCACCGCCTGATGGCTTGTCGGAGCATAACGGCTATCATAGGCAGGAGCCTCATGAAGTGATACGTACTGCGCTTCAACATAATATTACCGTATTGTGTGTGTATAACCTCTTTTTAAGTTTTGTGAATATTATACATGGTTATGCTGAGGATATATCGGCCAGTTTCTACTGGAAATGCCTTTTGGTTAAACTGTCAGCAAGGAATTTGCACTATTACATTTTTATATAACTTTAATGCACATAAAAAACAGCTGCTTGTTTAAGTGAAAATACATTGATGGAGTTTTTTGCACTAATAAAGTTGTGGAGTTGTAAAGCATTTTGTCTAGTGTCAATTATATCGTCAGTTATATCGTTATTGCAAATTTTCAAATGTATATCGTGATAAATATTTTTGGTCATATCGCCCTGCTCTACTCTAAAGGCTGTGATTTAAAAAGAAAAAAAAAATACAAACTGCTTCGAGAGAGCTTGTGAGCTTTGTCATATGTTTAGAGAAAAAATATCTGTGGTTAGCCTGCACAGATCCTCGACTACGTGTTCTCTAGTTACAGAGACTGATGAATTGCTTTTCATTAAAATGCAGCAGACAACACACTTGTCATTCCAGTTTGTCAGCACGGCAGAGATACCGGAAAACAAATGGGGCCCCCCCCCCCCCAAAAAAAAAAGAAAGAAAGAATGCACACTTACCAATGAATTGTACCGGCCTTGATCCATCTTTTTCTCAACAGACTCCAAATCTGGAGGGGAGTCGCTGGGAGGTGTGGGGGTTACTTCTGTCAGGACTGGAGGATCTGGGCCCTCCGGGGAACGACGGGATGGAAGACTCTCCTCCGTCTCTGGATTCAGCTCTGGTGGCTTCACCGCCTGCTCCAAAACCACAGAGTATAGCTCTGACTGATGTGGTAAAATAAGCTCAGGCTGTGTCTGGTCAAAATGTGCCTGTATCCATCAATATCCATCATAGCACCACGTGGTAAAAAAGTAAAACTCAGCACTATAAAGTAATAAAGTAAAATAAAATCAGTGTTTCCCACACACAGACTTTTCTTAGCTGGCCATCAAGGTATATAAATACCTGCCTAAGTTTATTTGGTAACACAAAGGTTGGTATTTTTGAAATTTCTACATGTTTAAGAGAGTTTAGCTGCGACTAACTAGAAAGGCCCTTATTAAATTTACTTGGCAGTTCTCGACTTCACAGAGGCGACCTCAAATTTATTTCTCACAAAGAAACTGGAAAATGAAAAATGTGCAGAGGAAATCCTTAAAAATGGCAGTCTGCAGAACCTAAATCTGTGGGAAACACACTGCAAATGATGCTATAATATAAAAATCTGATCAGTGAAATGTTTGCAATATGGCAAAGACTCACATCGATTTGCAGGTGTGTATCTTACCTGTCTGTACCGTAGCAGGTGCGTGGATGTGCGTGAGTTGAGCAGTGCAGTGAGGACGTTGCGAATGCAGCCCTGAAGTTCCCTTTCCAACGCCGCCCTCCACTCGGGCGGGTGTCGTTCGGTACATTTGGTACATGTGTAGGCAACGCTCTCTGGCTTTGACAGCAGTTCATACATTTCATCTGCGACACAGCGAAACGGCAGGTCATTAGGTTTATTGTTTTTCTGCATGTCATCAGCGTGACAGCGCTCAGAGGGCAGCCTGTCAGTCATCTGCTCAGACACTGACGAAGCACACAAGCTGCTACAAACTGATGAAGAGCATACTGTCAATGTATTACTCGCTATGGAGCTTCTCACCTGTGAGATTCTCACACTTTGCATGAACCCAATGGTTGCAGCGGCCACACAGCATCATTTTGCTGTCATAATCATCATCGTCATAGCACTTATCACACAGTGGGCAGAAGTTCCCTGAGAGAAGAGATTAAAATTCATCAAGACCAATAAAATACTGCTTACATTCAAATGTCGTTGTATTTTTTTTTTTATTGCTGGTGATACTGATCAGTCATCTACTGAGCTACCTGCTCACCTTTAGCAAAAAGTTTGGCACAATCATGACACATGGAGAAATCATGTGACCACTGGGCATCCCAGGACTTCCCAGGTTTCGTGGTGCCACAGCTCTTACAGCGCACACACTTGGTGCAAACCTGAAAATAAGAGGCACATAAACAACATCGTTACTACACGGTGTAAACTCGTAAGCATTCGTTTAAGGAGTGGAAAGTGTGTGAAAGTGACGCTGTAACAGGAGCAAAACGTTTTCCTAGACGCTGGCTGTGCGAGGTCGCATCCATGTAAGTAGCACAATCTTGAGAAGAAGGAAACGTGTGAACTCGGGAGAGAAATGTGCGAGCATAATGCTATAGTTTGGTCACGCAGTGGTGCAACTGTGTTACATAAAGGTGAGAAAATAGTGAGGGTGTTTAAGAGAGGAGGAGGAGGAGAGTGTGTGCATACCCAGATTCTCTTCTTCTTGGTGGGTCTGGTTGGGTAGTTGGGACCCAGGCACTCTGGGTGATAGCTGTTGTGGCACTTGTCGCACTCTAGCAGCTGCTGCTACAGGGAGAGAGGTAGAAAAAGTGACAAGAGGTTATTTGTATATCAAGTTAGGCAGCAGTAACATTTTCATCCCTAACAAACAGTTCTGCTCCCTGCAAATCAGCAACAAAGGCTTTGACCCATAATTGCAGTACTCGCCTTTACCACCAAGTGTCACGCTAAAATAAATGAATGGTAGATACAGCCATGCAGTATTTTTTAAAAGATGAATGGTGCTTCTTTTACACAGACGTCTTGCTCTAGTGCTCCCTCCAGTTTATAGCAGGGCACATTCATAGCGTGTGTAACAGATGGATAAACATCATTATCTAAGGCATTATGATGCAGCTTTAATGTGAGCTGTATAGTGCTCTTGTCGACAGCTGCTTAAGGGTTGAGCGCAGTTGAGTTTTTCTTGTTTTTTCTTTGAGTAAACACAGCTATCCCATTTAAAGTTTTTCCAATATACAGTTAATGTGCTGCAGGACATTTTCATCACTGAACTAGCAGGGATCCTAACCCCAAATGCGAATGACAAACATTTATTAATAATGACCAACAAGCTAAGCTGGAGGGCCTTACTGAGGATCAGCAGCAGCACCCGGGCCTGCAGGATAGCCCCTGACACTTCTGAGAGAGGCTAACAGAGAAAAAGGGGAGTGATGGTGGAGCCCCGAAACAAGAAAAAATGAGCATGTGGTGCAGGTGGGCATTTATAGACGTAAGAGCAGGAGGAGAGTGTTTGAGATGTTCCTGAAGCTCCTAAAATTTAGATAAATTATCAACAATTAGAAGTTGCAAATAGTCAAAGTTTTATGATCATCCAGCACTTGATGTGCTATTTCTTCAGCGGCCTGATTTGCCCGTAACTTCACCAGGAGCTGAGATTTAAGTTAAGACACACTCAGTGGTGGAATCAGAATGCCAGAGACCTACTGCTTAGAGGCAGCTCCTTGGTCAGAGACGAAAGCCAGTACAAAATAACGATTTACTTTACGCTCACGGGCAGAGATTTATTTAAAGATCTAGCTCCAAAGAATCTTTTTCTTTAGCCTTACCTTCTGCTTTTCCCACTAAATGGGCTCACATGGGTTCACATATCTTGCTAACATGTACGGCTGTTTGACTGCCTTTCTTCCACCTGATGTGTTCATTCATATTTCTAAACCCACAACCATACAAGGCTCACAACATGCACATTTTACACATGGCTTCAGTTAAATGATAAAAACATGGCAGGAATCCAAGAAGCTGATTAAGTGCTGTCTGCTGGCTAGACTAGCAAGCTTCTTTCTAGGGAAGATTCTCCAGTCTTCACACACTGTCAGTCTGAACCAAGCTTCCGTGAGCGGCTTTAAAATGTACAGAACTGTATCGAATGGCTTACTTTAGTTTTCTGGTGCTGGCGCCCACAGGCCTGGCAGTATCGGCATCGTCGACAACACCAGTTCTCAAACTGCTCCTGGAGAGGGCGCTCCGATTCCCCCAGGCAAAAGAGATGGAACGGTTCACAGCATACCTGGCAGAAGACAAACTACATGCAGAGAGAGAGAGAGGAAGACGTGTTTGAATATAAGCTCAGCTTCTGCGTGGATGAAAGGAAGCTCAAAGGGGGGAGGGAAAAATAGAAAATCAAGATGATGCCAAGATTTTTACCTCCACATTTCCACTGCTTGCACACAAAAAGCAGAGCACCCTGGGTGTGATAGGCACAGAGGTGAGCAGGCTGAGGCCACCAGCCTCCCACACCTTCTCCACATCATGGTTCCTTTTGAAATCCACTCTGATACGATGCACTCCGTCGCAGGGTGCTCTAGAATTCACCTGGCCCCTAGTCGAGGGAGTGCTCTGCGAGTTTAAAGTACTGCTGCTCGGGGGTTTAGTGGTCAGAGGCTTCACAAGAGGGGGTGACCAAAAAAAACAAAAACAGTGTTTAACAAATGCTTACGGCAAAAGGTTTGATGGACATCTTATACAAGTAAAACTTTATTACCTTGTCTTTTGGTTTGTGTTTAGGAGAAAGGGGAACAGAGCGAGAAGTTGGCTTCTTTAACTGTTTTGATTCGGCTATTAAAAAAAAGAAGAAAAAGGCGATGATATTAAAATAAGAACAAGGTAAAAAAAAAAAAAATGCAGTTTATTGGGAAAAGGTATGGCTATTTACTTACCTGTATCTGAAACTACTGTAGCTGAGCTCTGCTGTTGCACTGAATGCTGCTGCTGCAGCGGCTGTGTTTTTTTCTTGGGTTCATTTGACGAAATCTTGGGTGAAGCATCCTTTTTTGAACATGCCTGACTGGTAAGTGTCCGTTGCTGCTGCTGTTGTGATGACGGCTGAGACTGCGTAGACTGAGAGGGGGAATTTTGTGCAGAAGATGACGATGAAGAGGAGGAAGAGGAGGAGGAGGAAGAAGAAGATGATGAGGATGAAGAAGAAGACGATGAAGTGGAAGAAGATGACGTGGAGGTGGAAGCCGGTACAGGCTGCTGTGGCTTGTGCCCCTTTTTACCGGGGGCACCGCTTGGGACCGTGAGCTGCTTGGGTTCTGACGTCGGTGCGGGAGACTGAGCCTGGGCTGTGGATGCGGCGGAGGCCTGAGGGGGATCGGCTGGGGCAGGGGAGGATGCGAGGGCTGGCGATGATTGCTTGGATAATGGCTGTCTTGACTTCTCCTCTCCCTGCCTTAGAGGAGGAGGAGGAGGGCTCTTTTTACGGGGAGGTTCCTCTTTTGCTGGAGCAGGAATGGGTTTGGGACCAGAGTCCGAGTTTGGTCCTTTCACCGGATTGAGGCTCTCTTTCTTTTCCGGTGGCCTCTTTTTCTTGTCCTTCTTGCCTTTACCTTGCTTTTGAAGAATCTTTGAGGGCATCCACTGTAAGTTCTGACACTTTCTCATCCTGAAAAGCAGATACACAAAATTTTAGCTTCCATCCTGCCCTTAATTCCCACCACAATGACGATGTCTTTGATGCATCTATAATTCTACCATCAACTGTTCGTGCTGGATGTTGATCTAATGAATCTTGTTAGTTACAGTTACAGAAAAGGAGGAAGAAGAAGACATTTTAAGACCGACTCTGACTCTATAAGTGTATTGTCTAAGCTTTGAAAACAAACCAAAAAGAAGTATTCACTGGCAAATACCTCCCACTTCATCAGCATAATGAACGAGCTGGATACAGTAACAGCCCATTATATTTTGTCACATAGCATAGTTACATTTCCAAGAACGTGCATGTCAAGCTGCTGACTTCAAGTCAGGAATAATACTCACTTGCAGCATTGCTTTTTAATGTTTCGCCCTCCAAACTTAGGCTTATCCAGACAGTTGGTACATTCACCGCAGTCTTCTGGAACCTGGCAGCCTGAGCACTGGCCACAGCGCCGCGACCGTCTGCCCTTTTTAGGAGGAGCTTCTTGAACGGCCTTTTGCCGGGTCTCCCGTGGCTTTATGGGAGGGGACTGAGGCTCTGCCTCTTCTGAGCCCGCAACTGAAGACTTGTCTGTAAAAAAAAAAGCCAAAAAAGGAGGATTTCATTATTACTGACACACAGTTTAACACAGAGAGTCATAAAATAGCACTATTAAGAAGGCAAAGATGAAGAAATTTACAATATTGATAAATAAATTATTTTTTTAAACAAATGAATGAATCTTAAATTCTGGCTTATTTTAAAAATAATACATCTAGTCAATAAATCAATAACAACTTATTTTTTAGCCACTGATAGGTTTTTATTTAACCTAATTCCCGACCATCACTATTAGGTCATCTCGCCTAAAAAATTTGCATGTAACAACATGACATGAGACCAGTCAAAATAACAGGGACGGGGCAGCCAAACGCTTCTCACTCCATCACCACTCCACTGTGTACTTGTGTGCCCATCAATGATTGAATTTCTCTTCTCCTGTGATTAGCCTGTCATCATTGTGTGCTCCAAACTGTTTCAGGACTTGCACAAATGTTGTGTCATGAATAAAAAACCATTTAGCTCACGCTGCTCTGCAATATTAGAAGTGTACACATGTCACAGTCCCAATTAAGACCCCACCCAGAATAGCCAAGTCTTGCACAAGCTGAACTAGTCTCTGTACCTTTTTTTTTTTTTAATTAAAACGGTTAAAGATTACCATGAAGTTTACCATTTAAAACAACTAAGCAATAATATCATCCACACCAAAGAGTGTTGATTTTTGCATTTTATAGACAATTCAGTAAACTTCAAGTATGCAGGTGTGTCTCACCATCATTCCCCATGGAAGACAGGATCTTCTCTCTCTCCTCCCAGGGCAAGGCACTAAGTGTGGGCATGTCATCAGGGAACACCGCTCGGTTACGGCCAAGAGCCACAGCTGCACGACGGCATACATGCTTGATGCGCGGTCCACGGACCGATGCCTCCGACGAATCACTCTCTTGACCCTGCAGACCACCGCAAAAAGTGCAGCGAATACTCATAAAGAGCATCATGATAACAAATATGCAAGACAATCCTACAAATGCACAAACTTGCAATGCAAAAAGACAGCATGTTCAGCTTATTGTTAGATGTTAGTTACGTTAGATGTGAACAATCTGACCAGTGTGCAGGTGAAGATTAAGAAGATGTGGAAACAGGAGTGCAAGGCGTGTCCTTAAAAACCCAATTTACAATTTTAACAGCAAAAAATAAAAACAGATGAAGATTCTGCATAAAGGACTTTCATAAGCAAAGCTACTGCTGTTTTGTGCATAATGCATTAAGCGAGGAGAATTCCCCTTAAGTAACACCCTCCGTGGGACTTTCCTCCTATCAAGTTTCAGTCTGAGTACAAACTCAGGTTTCTATTTATAGCAAACATTCATAGCATTATGTCAAACTCATTTGCTTGTGACTATACGATTTAAATGAGAAAACCAGACAGTCTTTTTGTTGAGACTCTATGAAGGCGACGCATGAACATGAAACTGACCTGGACCTTTGCCTGATCTGTAGGTTTTAGCTTGTTCTTCTTTATCTCAAAGAGCTGGGCTTTGGCCTTCTTCAGTAGTCCAACTACCCGCTTGTCAGTCACAGGGTGTTTCTCTGAATTTGATAAAATTTTTCCAATAGAGGAAACAGGAAGTTGTTGTCTGCTGGGATGCACTGGGAGGCTTGGTGTATTTTGGCTGGGAGTACTTCTTTTCTCTTTCTCTTTTTCCCCATCCTCCATCTCTGCTCCCTTCTCAGAGGGCCTGCCTTTCTTAGGCAGACGTCCTTTAGTAAAGGACACAGGACCAGTGGAAGGTGGCACATCTGAGGAAGCGGTGTCAGAAACCGTGTCAGCTGATGTTGATTTTTTTCTCCCCGGAGCCTTTTTTGGAGCAAGACCATCAGAGTCCCTCCCATCTACAGTAAACAGACTAGAAGGTGCATTAGGGGAGCCATCTGGTGTAGAAACCCGACTTCTTTTCTCCAAATCCTTCTTCCCTTCTCTCTTATTCTCCTTCTCCTTCTCACGATTTTTCTCAGAATCTCTCTCTTTTTCCTTCTGAGCAGGTTCCTGGGGAGTGGACAAACATTTTTCTTTACCACCCTTCCCAGCTCCTCGCCCTGTGTCTTGGCCACTGGGAGGAAAGAGAGGGAAAAGTGGGGAAGAACCGGATGATGCAGCTGACATGGGAGGTGGGTTTCCAGTGGCCCCTCTTCGATTATCGGGTGTTCCTTGTGAGGCCAGTATACCGTGTGATACCGTAGAGAAAGTGTTGAAAGGAGCAGAAGTTAAGGCACTAGTGGCTAGTGGGCTTGCAGACACCCCTGGCAAAGAGCTGGGGTTACTACTGGAGGCAGAGCCTGGCAGCACAGATATCTCTGAGGCCCCTTTCCCCATCGACATCTGGCCTCCTATTTGGCTGCTGCGTCTGGTCATCGAGTGGGATGGAGACCGTGGATGGCCACGTAGTGTTCCCGGAACCGGCCGTCTCCTACGCCGCTGGGTTCTGGTGGAGCTGGGTGGCGTCTGGTGTGGGGAGATTGATCCAGGGCTGCTCCCCGAAGATGACTGCAGGGTAACTGACTCAAATATCCGAGAGTGAGCCTCACTGGGTGTAAAGCGTGGAGCACGAAGCAACGGGCTGCGCTTTTGAAGTGGTGAGTCAAAGCGGGATGATGGGGGGTGCTGGTGGTGAGTGTGGGGATGAAGAGGGGCAAACAGACGAGTCCCACTCCCCGCTCCGGTGACCGGTGCTGGAAATGCAACCGGAGCAGCTCCCCCTGCCCCACCAACACCCAGCCCGACGTCTTCAGGTGTGAGAGGTGGAGGACGGAAGTTGTCAAATACCGGCTTGCGTATAAGGCCCTCCTTGGCATATTTAGCAGAGGAAAAGTACTGCTGTTTCGGGTGGGACAGGGATGTCCATCGGAAGGTGGGCTCTCTCAGAATTGAGCGACTTCTTTTGTCTGACAAGCTGGGCAGCACTGACGGTCCAGGGAGGAATGGCGGGATGGGGTGAGGCATCCAAGACGACTGGGGGTGGTGTTCACTAATAGCAGCTGTACCAGTGGAGGTTGACTGGGGAGGCTGTGGAGGGGTGAGGAGAGGGGGAGGTGAAGAAGACGAAGAAGCTGTGGATGAAGCTTGCTGGGAATTTACAAGTGCAGAGGAGGACATCAGCACTCCTGTTGGTGGGCTAATGATTGGCTTTTTCATCCCAGTGGTGAGCGTCTCTCTTCCCCTCTGTTTCTGACCCCCCTGGCTGACCCCCTGCCGTCTCCGGCCTCGTTGATTCCTCTCTGCCAGCACATGCTCTGCCTCCGGTTCAGAGGGAGGAGACGCAGGCTGTGAGGTGTGTAGCAGGTTGGCCTCTCTCTCTCCCTGTGAGGACGGAGAATGATCCTCTGGCTCTGACAAAGCCTGCGTGGCCTCCGAAGCCTGGGAGTTGCACGATGAGTCATCCAAGCTCGGGCTGCTGGACCTGGAAGACTCTGCAGAAGAGAGTTGTGAGGAATGCTGTGACACAGCACTTGAGCCGCAAGATGGCGCGCTACTGCTGAATCTCCCATTGGCTGTGTTGCTGTTGCTGCTATTCAGAAGACCGGCAGCTGTTGATGGAACAGAGGGAACAGGGGCAGGAGATGAAGGAGGCGGGAGAGAGTCAGTCGGGGCAGTGGTACCAGCGCTAGTAACAGCAGATGTAGAGGAGACAAGCACAGGAGAAGGGGATGAGGAAATGGTGCAGGCAGGTTGGGCAGAAGTGGAGACAGATGAAGGGGCTGTGTCTAAGCGGGGTATCTTTGTATGGGGTGCTGGGGTTCCAAAACTCCCTTCATCTTCAATGAAGCGCTTGGGTGTTTTGATGATGCGAAGGGAGACAGTGCTGACCACGGGCATGATGAACTGCCTGATGTTCTTCAGCGGGGTCTTCCTGATGCCAGCTTCAATGGCTCCTCCCCCACTACCCCCAATGGCTACAGCTTCTTTCTCCAGTCGCTTCTGTGCTCCTTTCTTAGCACGTTCCAGCAGCTGTTTGGCGATGGTAGCATCAGGACGCTTACACGGGGGGACGATTCTGACCGGCTTTCTGTGCCGAGGGCTTTTTCTGAGGCCCACCGCTCTGCCTGGCTTGGAGGGAAGTGGGGAGGCAGGTGGATTGGAAGAGTCTTGGTCCCCAGTGCCATCCACACTCCTTAGCATGGGCTGCTGAGGTGTGTGTGGTTCTGCGGCCCCACCTCTGATCCTGAACGTTTTATGTTTCCCTTCCCCACATTCAATGGAGGTAGACAGCTGGGCAGCAGCAGCAGCTGCTGCTTCAGCTTTGAGCCTCTCAGCTGATGGTGGTCGCCCACGTCTGCGTCGGGGAACACCGGGCAAAGTCTTGAGGCGTGACTTCAGAGGGGTGAGCTTGGTCTCTGTCAGCCTCTTCAGGTTGGTAACTTTGGATTCACCCCGTCCACCTTTGGAAAACCTCGCCTCAGTATCATGTGGCTGAGTAGAGCCCACTGGCACCTTCTTGCCACCCTTTCTGTCCTTGTCCTCCTCTGTGTCCAGCTCAAACCCAACCTGCCTGGTGTCCTCCCCTGCTGCATGGCTTCCCGTAGTCCAAGCTTTCTTGCTACTTGAAGAAGGGGGTCGGCCTCTTCTCTTTTCTCCGGTCCCAGGTGGCCTCCCAGGTAGCCTTTTCACCCTTTCAGCTGGTCTTTCAGGTCCCTCAGGTTTGTCCTGTGTTGGGGAGGGAAAGGATGATGGGGAAGGTAGACTTGCAGCAATTTTCTGGGCGGACAGGACCCGTGGCGGGCGCCCTCTTGGCTTCTTCTCCTGTATAGGTGGGCCTGCTGATAAAACCAGAAAAACAAATAAATAACCAGGCACAAACAGCAACACCTATAGAAAAATTGTACAGGTAGAGTCATCTCAAACTGACTATAAAGTCCCTGATAGCCAAGACGGATTAAAATTTTACCTGAGGAAGTTGTTGAAGGGCTCTGTACTCGCTTCTGTTCAACAACCGGTCCAAATCCTTCAAATGCTTCTTCCTACAACACAAGAAAGGGAAAAAGATGAGTCGCCTGTAATCACACCATTTTGTAATGCTAAAATACAGGAACAGACCATATTTAGAGCATTAATCATAGTACATAACAGTGAGATGGCCTAGATGTGCAACACTTGAGTCATTATTGAATAATAATAATGGATTGCATTTATACAGCGCTTTTCGGGACCCCTCACTCTCACGTTCATACACTGGTGAAGGCAAGCTACAGTTGTAGCCACAGCTGCCCTGGGGCAGACTGACAGAGGCGAGGCTGCCATATCGCGCCATCGGCCCCTCTGGCCATCACCAGTAGGCGGTAGGTGAAGTGTCTTGCCCAAGGACACAACGACCGAGACTGTCCGAGCCGGGGCTCGAACCGGCAACCTTCTGATTACAAGATGAACACACAACTCTTGAGTGTGTTCGATCGCCTGAAGACAGACTACTCCAGCTTACTCTGGTGCTCTCATATTTTTCTGGTTTTTGGAATAGCATTCCTAACGTTTGAGAAGACTCAAACCACCACAGACGTCTAAATCTTACTGGGTGACTAACACATAGCACTGTACTCCTGCTCCTTGAGTTACAGCACTTACACAGGCAGACAGAGCAAAGAGGCACAAAAGACAATGAGGCCTGAAGTGCAGAGCAAATACACATTAGTGGCATCTTTTCAACAAGAGGAGCAAAAATGTAAAGTGTGGCTTTAAGGCTGAGCCAGAGCAGTCTGAGCTTTGGATTCACTTAGATACATCTGTGCCTTTAGCTGAATTCAGACACTGAATCATGGTCACATGTTAAAAAATATATCAGTTTAGGCAATTTTAGCATGAAACTTTGATGTTTCACCATAAAATATTTCATCCACGGTTAATAACTGCCAAATGATGTGACTTTAATTACTCAGTAATATTGAATTAATTTCAATATTTTGGGAAATTATGTAAGCTCCACTCTGGCATAGTAAATGTATCCTTACTCTCATGTCTCAATGTACCCTTGAGAAGTGCAACAGAAAAGAAAAAAATCCCTCAGTGATGATTAGCATCTTTGGGCTCCTCTGTGTGCTACTACTTCTTACAATCAATGTGCTTAAGAGTGGAGGTGAGTGTGTCATATCGTCATGTTTATTTATAGCAGCACGTGGGGATGCAGTAAAGGTCTCGCTGGCCCAGTTTGTAGAGCAGCTGCGATCTAAGTGTAAGTGCAAAATTACATGCAAACTGCTTTGCACCATTTAAGAGTTACACACGCTGCATGTGGCTGAGACGCACGACAAACTGTAGGATCTAATTAGAAAGCATAAGAAGCATTAATGTGTGCTCAAATGCCGGTTTTCAGCTGTTCCACATATAAACAAACAACAATAACAGACAGTCAATACCGCTGTTTTTCCTGGCCTGCAGTATTTATCTAAGCATCCCACTCTGCTCATGGTGCATTCAAGCTTCTTTTTTCCTCCCCTTTTTTATGCGTCGCTCTTTTTGTATTTCACCCTCTTCTCACAGTAATTGTAGCATCCTCCTCTCTGAGCAAGCTGGTGCTCTGGGTTGGTGTTTGTTGCAGAGCGGAGCGGGGGGCGGGGGGAGTACCGATGGACAGCACTGAGTCGCTGTGATAATGTGAGCAGTCAATGACATTACAGCGTACTTTGCCAGAGGCAAGTGCGTAGAGCAGGCTGCACAGACACATGTACCTGCACTCACTCACTCACTCACTCACTCACTCACTCACTCACACACACACACACACACGCACACACACACACACCCTTGTGATCATGTACTAATTCTGTCAGCCACACATACACAGTTTGGTGGGCGGGGTGGGGGGTGGGGGATAGCACACCCCCCTGCATGAGCTGCACATCAAGATGTAAACAAGCAGAACACAGGAGTGAAAATGGGGGGAGGGGAGCAAAGACAAGGCAAACCAGCATGCTCGACGAGCTAAAGGAGGAGGGTTGTGGGAGGAGGGAGAGGAGGAGAGAAAAGAGACAAGGAAGCAGCATCTTGACCACATGCACCATCAACAACGGAGGGAGCGCACCGCTCTCTTGGGAGCAGTGAGGATGAAAGGGGATGAGGTTTTGAACATGCTCGTGCAGAAGCTTCCTAAACCCAATCTAAACATGCCTCCCACACACAAGACAAGACTCCCCTTTCCTCCCCCCGCCTCTCTTAATCTTGCTTGCTCTCTGCCATGCTTCCAAACGCACATTCAGTCAGTCAGTCACTCATTGCTAGCTCACGCGCTCGCTCCCACTGACTGACAAGCACTGAGCAGCAGCGCGTGGAACACGCAGCTCACCATGAGCTCAATAGCAGTGCATGCACAGGGAGGTAACTTCAAGAAGTAAACAAACACCGTAGTATACTACTGAGGTGAAGTGTTTTGTACTACGTTGTCGTGCGACGTGCAAGTGATGAAAGGGGTTACTGGAAAGACCAGAGTTTGTCTTTTTTGTTGTTGTTTTTTTCCCCCTTCCACTTTATCTCTTAAGCTGAACAGCACCCTTCATCTTTGCTCGCTTTTGCCGTCGCTCTCACCGTGTGAAATCCTGAGCAGTTCTACTTCCCTGCTGGTCTGTCATTTTTCATCTTACTGATCAATGCATACATGAGTTAAATGATATAAATTACTTAAAGCTGGAGAAAGGGAAACCAATCTGATTCTTGACAGAAGCATCATTAATTTTTTCAGGACATGCAAGGGACTGTCCCTGACAGGTGTGAAACAGATGGGAATTGGGTTGGAGGTTTATTTCTCTGTATCACTCTGACAGAGCTTTTGCACTTTGACAACGCTAATGGGACTTTCACCGCCTTATAAGACAGCATTTAGGAGAAATCAAACTGACTACAGATGACGGGCTGCAGATGATGGATCTGTTTCTAAGGCAGGGTAGAAACCCAGCTTTGATCTACAAAACGCATTCCTTGCTAAACAGGTGGGTTTCCAAACGGCATCTCTCTGGTTTTTTTGGATAGGTTTCTTGAATTCCAGATTTAGCAAAACAAGAGCAATTCTAACCACCTACTGTATGTTAGCTCTTGTTAACCAAAGTTACACTTTTAGGCTGGCGGAACAGCAAAAGCAGACAAAATAATAGAAGCAGAATATGTATAGAAAAAAGTAAAAAAAAATCTTACTGTGATTTGTCAGCATGTCCCCTAATGATCTTCTGAGTTTACTTTACAATGAATATTTAAATTCAGTGGAGAAAGTAAGGAAGAGGTGTACAACGCTTCATAAAGAAGGCTGGGAGGTGCTGAGAAGGGTTCATTTCCCACCTGAAACTAGAATCTGCAGCAAACCTTTGCAAGCTTTAACCACGGCCACAACTTTTCCCTTTTATTGTTTGTCTCACCTTTTTCAAGTGAATTACCAGTATGACTAGATATCACATCTAAACCCCTACCCAGCACCAATAGTGGTCGTGCATGATTTGCAGTAAAAACAAATCATGTTGTTTTTTTTGTTTTTTTTAAATCTCATGCTGAGCTTCAGGGCAGCCCCTCAGTTCACTCTCTTCCTGAAAGAAGCTTTTTTTAAGATAATCTCTCTTTCAAGCAAATTTCTTCTACCTGGCTCTGCATCATAAACAGAAGAGCTGGAGGAGTCTGCTGCGCCTGAGATGACTATATTAAGGGTATCCCCCTATCTATATCAAACAGAGCCAAGAGTAGAAAAAAAGTGAGTGAAAGTGAGTATTTGAGTCAGAGGGATTATTTGCACATGTGCTGAAATCCTTACTTTTACCATGTTTAATATGAGCATCCGCCACTGTTGCAATATATATGGCAGAAAATAAAATAAGCCCATTTTTAAGTTAAACTTCTCTCGCTCATACTAAAAACACTTTAGTTCACAGCTGATATTTCTGCTTTAAAACGTGCCAGTCATTTAATGAGCACGGTTGACCGTAATGTTAAATATACCTGATGGGCAGTAAAAAAAGTTTACAACAAGCAAACAACTGCTGTCACAAGTGATGATTCACAAGTCAGTAACAAACACATTAGCATACTCTGCAGCTACCCAAACACCTACCACATCAAGATCTTACCGGAAAACCTAACCACTACTCATATAATCAGTCGCAGTTTCATGACAGCTTATGACTTTTATGTGTTTTTCTATGTTTATGAAAGGTGCTGCTATCCCAGGATCTTAATTTTCACTGATTTCTGCATGTAAGGCTGAACCTCCATCCACATTAGCAGCAACATGGAGAAGCACATAGTTTTATGTTAATGTGATATGTGTTATGTGATATTCTTATAATAGAGACTATTTTGATGCATTTACCTGGCAGTTACATACAAGTGTATTAAATGCAATAAGCTAAAGAAGCAGTTGGACAAACTCTAATTACTAGAACAAGGATTTAAGCCGGAAGCCAATGCCAGACACAGCTGCAGTGTGGAAAGTGCCTCAGTCAAAGGAGCTACCTTATTGATCCTCGCCTTACCCTGACTGCAAAAAACATTAAATTAAATTTTTAAAAAAATCACATACACTATATGTGTGGAAATATCATCAAATTTACATAAGCTCCATTTAAACTCAGAAGTTACCCACTTTCAGACATCTGAACAAGTGATGTGGAGCAAAAGGAGGGCAGGAAAGGGATGTCACATAGATTTATAGGTTTTCCAGGGTTATTCTGATGCTAATAGACACTCTATAGGAAGTCATTCTTCCCCGGTAGTCTAGAAAAAAAAAACATTTTGTTGACTCATTCCTGGAAGCTTTCCTTTAGATTTACGGCACAGACACCATGCTCTGCTCCAGAAATGCAAACTGGCAATGAGCTCATAACCCTATATGTCTGTGATGACATATCTGTTCAAGAAGGTCTCAGCAGGGAAAGCAGTGGCACTGCTCTGTGACCCTCCCTGTCAGCACTGAGCAAAAGGTGGGCATTTGTTTTTTCAAGTGTCCAAACACTAAGTGCAACTGCTTCACATTTGTTCAACAGCGTGCAGACCAAAACAAACACACTCCCGTGTTGGGGTACCTTCTCTTTCCACACCTCACATGTGAGGAAACGAGGAAACTGTCAGTGGACAAAGGCAAGCAGACTGATTGCTTGGGGAGGGGGGGGCAGAGTGTTGTTCTCTACACAAACACACACAAACATAGTAACACTTGCACAGGCTGGCACACAAACACACATTCCCTCTGAACCATCTAAGGAGGCAGCTTGAATTAAAGTTTTAATCAAAATAAAGACAAAGCAGACACGCCTACTCCTGATTGCAATGAGGGACATAAAGTCTGAGGGACACCCCTACCACCACACACACACAAGCGCACGCACACGCACAAAGAGTAAGAAAGACGACACAATTGCCGCCTTTCTCCCAGTCAGGCAACTCCAAAAGCAGAGGTGAAAGCTCCTTGCCGCCCGCTGTAGCTGAATAAAGCCGTGGATGGGAGGGGTGGGAGGGTCTGTAACTAATTCTCCACCCAGCGTTATCCCATTGGGAGGTGGGTGGGGAGGGTTGCCCTGCACCCTTTGATATCCCTGCCTGCACTCTTTCAGCCGCCGCACTTTGTGAGGGCTGGAATAAAAGCAGACACAAAGCTCTTGCTCCAATCCACACGATGTCTCGGGGATGGGTAAGAAGGGTCCAGGAGGAGGGGTGTGTGTATGGGTGGCGGTGGGCGGGGGTCTTCTATTTAAATAGGCCAAACACCTGCTGGACCCAAGCGCCTTCCGCTCAAACACACCATTTCTTTCAAACCAGTGAGGCAAAGAGACATTTAGGTTGATACATCTATTGAGCTGTAGTTTTGTATGAATGATTAAACATTGGTAATTACATGAGAGTAAAGTGGAGGCAGCAGAAGGCAAGATGTAATGGACCAAGAACGAAAAAGGAAAAATTATGTTAAAAAAAAAAAAAAAAGTCTGATTCAGGGGAACAGCATGACTTGGGTTAAGGCTGTATGGGTTTTAAAGTCACTTTTAGAAACAAAGATCAATGTTGACTACATTAGATTATTAAAAAAAAAAAAAAGAACCAACAATTTGGCCGGATCAAGAAGCTGAACTCCCAGCAGACATACAAAAGCTAATAAATGCCTTAATTTGGACAGCAACAGCCAACAAGCACCCTTTTGAGCCACCCCAATAGGCTTAGTAATCCATTCCAAAGTGGCAGCTGTCAGAAGAAAAGTTCCTCTGCCTCTCAGACAGGGTGGTGTGTGTCTGAAGTGGATTTGGGTTTTTCTGCCTGGATGAAGGAAGGAGGGGCAGGAGAGTGTCCGGCTGGCGCTCTGTTCAGGGTCGCCCTGTGCACTCAGCAGGCTGCAGTGAGCCTGAACAATCCTGCCCAGATCTGGCCAGACAAGCACTACACTGATTCTCAATGAAATCACCATACTGTGTCCACAACTTCCATAGGATTCAGGTTCCAGGGGGAATTAATGATCCAGTCTGTCTCCACACATCCTAAACTAATGCTATAAACTGATACACAGAGCAGGAGGAACTGTTAATAAGTAAAACCATTTCTTAATAATATGATGCTCTTGGGTAAGGCCCAAAATAGCATGCTTTCTTATCAGTTGGACAAAAATGGGAGAACTCTTTGCCTTAACCATTTCTGGACAACCTATGCTTACAAGGACAGTCACACCCCAAAAAATCACTATGCTGTGTCAGAAATCTTCATACAACTCAAGCTGCCCTAGGGTTTTACAGACAAATCTCTCTACACATACATTATCAGTGCTCCAAAGTAAAAACGGGAGGGAGCGAAAAAGCTTAAAAAGCCATTTAAACACAAAATTAGTCAGTAAAGTTAGTATTTCCATGGGCCATGTAACACTGATTTAGTACAAATGCACTCCAAAAGTAAATAAAGCAGTTTAGAGGATTTAATGGTCCAATCATGGTCCGAACTTCCAGCTCCATATATTATTTCAGTTAAAAAAATTAATTAAACTTTCTCTTAAAATTTAAATAAACTATTATTAACTACTTTTCAATACTCCACAACCCCCTGCAGCTACATAATAATAAAATGTATTATATTGTCCAAACGGAGATTCCAAATGTCAAATGTGAGAACAAAATTTCTTTTTTAAACTACAGTTAAACGTCTCAGGAGCAAACATGCACATACTGCTGTGCTTTAGTAAAAAACAAACAACAAATAAGTAGTGGTCCATGTTGAGACTGGATGGTGGTAAACATCCTCACACGGTGTACTCCCACTGCAATGAACGCATGCTGCACATCATGAAGAAGGAAGATGGTAGTTCGCTAAGGCGAACACACCCCCACATCACAAGGTCCGTCAAGAAGGGGCTCGTTGTTATTGTAGCCAGCCCTGCATGCGCACTGTCACCAGCCACTGCTCTGATAAAACACGGCGAATTCACACACTAAACCTTATACACATATACACTCAATAACGGCCAAACGCCGTGTAGCTGTGTATCAGGCGTCATCTCAGAACATTATAAACCCGATATTATTTTGGTACTAGCTACGCACTGACTGTGCAGAGAAGGGGAAAACATGTCCACCTCCCATTTTCCTATGCATCAGCAATAGCCCCGATGGCTAGCGCGACGTAGTGCGTAGCATGGTAGCTTCCCTAGCTTAAAACTAAACAGCAATAGATCTGATTTCGTTTGGAGCATGAGCTCAGCCAAGTTTAGCTCCGATGCTTTAACCCGCTACGTAGCAATATGCTAATCGGGGGGGAACGCAGCAACCTCCCGGGCAAAACTGCAACTTTATAACGCCGCTCACAGAGAGGAGGAGAAGAATGGTGGTGTAGTTTTAGCTGTAAGATGTAGACAGCTAACGTGCGAGCTAACCGAGCAGCTACGTTGGGAGGTTGACACCTCACTCCCAACAGCCAGTCCTCGGAGCAAATACGAAGCTATTTAGCTGGCAAAGATAACCCTATAGAGAGCTGGGGCAAAGGTAAAGGGAATAAGGAGTAGCCGTTCTCGCTGGAGACAGACGCTAAGTTCGCGTTAGCTAGTTAGAAACCACAATTGTGTACTCTCACCTCCTTCAAGTTGACATGTCTTGTTTTCAAACACATAACACGCTATCATGAAGCTACGGTGCTGTTACACCACAGGGACGCCACCATTTATTAAAAACGTGTTTAAATGCTGGTTAGTTGCAGTGGGTTAACATTAAAGCTAATATGTTAACGGTAACTTTTACCGTGTTAGTGTTTATGATTTTGAAAGCAGGCATGAAGGCTTCATACCAGGCTAATAACAACTTGCTAACTAGTAATCCCACCTTAGTTACGCCATATACATTGGTCACCAAATAAACTAGTATCGCTGTTGTTTGTTACGTGTACTGTATGTTGTAATAGCGTTGTAACACCGAGGTTTCTTCTGGCCGAGCTAGCGTTAGCACTGGTTCACCCAAAACTGAGTGGATGTAGCCCGTCCTTACACTCCTGCACTGAGGAGCAGAAAACTTTCTTTCCAGTAGAGCTGTGGAGACTAGATATCTATAAAATAATTTGGCGTTTTTTCTTGCTTCTAACTAAAGTTAACGCTGTAACGGGTTACTGTGGAGTTTAAGGCCACATAACCAACTCAAAGTTAACTGAGCATCTTGGCAATGACAAGTTTGCTCAGAGCCACACTAAGCGTCAGGGAGACGGAAAGATGGTCAACGTTTGGGTACAGTAACCGTTAGCTCCCTGCCTCACATGTAACCAGCAGTCCTCCGCGTGAACTCTGGCCCCGCAGCTGTCTTACCGATGCTCCCGGGTCATCCCCGTCCTTACCTCCGTGCTGCTAGAGTCGCTCGATTCCCCCAAAACATCCCGAAATTTCTGCAGGTTGCTCCCGATAACCGAAGAGACCTGTAGTGCAGCATCAAACCCGGGTCCGAGCCCAGCTGCATTAGGGTGGGCTCCCGAGACACTCCGCAAAGAGGCAGTAACCCTGATTCGGCCCGCTCTCCTCCCGGTACCGGAGTTGCTGCTCCCTCCGGGCCGAGCAGGGAACCGCCACCGACAGCTGTGCGCCATTTTACACTCTCTGCCTGTCTGCCCTGCGATCGGAGATACCTCAGTGGGCGGAACCCTTACCGAGCACTCCACATAAACAACCTCTACCAAGCGCAGCGTTCTCACTGGCCGAGAACATCGCTATGCATGTTGCGGGGCGGAACTGAAGAAACCCCGACAATGCATTTTCTCAGCGGCCCTATTGACTCTGCACGGCTGATTCCAAATCAGGTTCAGGGGCTTTGCCCGGGAAGGAGGTGCGTTTGAATCACCGAGGAGGAATAGACTGATATCTTACAACATGTGTTGTTTCTTATACCAGATAAACAAGATAAAGCGATAAGTGCGTTTTTTTCCTTCTTTTTTGAGCTGCAGCCAAACCCAGAGATAACAAGATAAGATACTCACTGTAAACAATCTTGGTCACAGTGCGTGTGACTTGAAGCAGGAGACTAGCATGCCACAACATAATGAAGCTATTCGCTTCCATCAAAAGTGCATGCTTAAAGAAAAGAGAAAAACGTACATAATGAAAAAAAACCCACTAAAAATACTTGGCACATTTGGTCCATGAAAGCAAGTAGGCTACTTGTGTGCAAGTAGGGTATACTGGGTATACTGACCCAGGCAAGATTACCCTCTAGAAAAAGGTTAGATTTTTACACGTAGTTTTAAAGGGATGGACATGGTGAGAAATAATACTCCGTTAGGCTGTGGCATTTAAACAATGCTCAGGTACTAATCAGCCCAAATTTAGGAAGAAATATCCCCCACACCTACACCACCAGTAGCAGCCTGAACGATTGATACAAGCCAGGACGGATCCATGCTTTTATGTTGTTTATTCCAAATTCTGAACCTGCCATCCAAATGTCACAGCAGAAATCTAGACTCACCAGCCCAGGCAATGTTTTCTAACTTTCTGTTGTTCAATTCTGGTGAGCCTATGCAAACTAACCTCAGTTTACTGTTCTTAGCTGACAGGTGCAGCACTCAGTGTGGTCTTCTGCTGATGCTCTTCTCCATACCTTAGTTGCAACTAGTGGCTATTTAAGTTACTGTTGCCTTCCTTTCAGCTTGAAGCAGTCTGGCTATTCTCCCCTGACCTTTCTCATCAACATATTTTCACCCACAAGAAATGCCACTCACTAGATATTTTCTCTTTTTCAGACATTCTCTGTAAACTCTAGAGATGGTTGTGTGGGAGAATCCCAATAGATCAGCAGTTTCTGAAATACTTAGCTCAGGCTGTCTGGCTCCAACAGTCAAGTTCAAAGTAGAGCCAGACTGGTATATCGGTATTAGCATTTTTAATGCCCCCAAAAATTAAAATCGTAAGGAAGAGATGGGAGAAACACCCTTCAATCATGTTGTGAGTGTTGAGGTTTCAGTCTGTTCACCAGCGGGCACTTGGCAACTTCCCTGTTGGTAATACGTACATGGAACACCAGGAACACAACCAGCCAGCACATAATCAAGAAATCCATGACTTGTGACAATAAAACAAGATCATTTTCAAACAGCGTGGTTATGTTATCTCTGTAAGGACTAAATAACTACACATAAGTGATAGGGATATCTGTTTATGTTTAATGTGTAACACCTTTTTTAAAACACCTAGTATTGGTCTTAAAATCAGTCTAGATCAAAGGGACGTGTAAATCACTTTTGTTCTCCATTCAGATGCTCGGTTTGAACTTGAGCAGGTCATCTTGGTCATATCTACATGGCTAAATTTACCTCATTTACTTTAATTCTATCTTTTACCCCTCTATTCAACACTTTGGCCGACACTTGATGTCTTTTAAATGTGCTATACAAATACAGCTGACTTGACTAAATTCATTAATTTACTGCCATTTGGTTGGCTGATGAGATATTTCCCTTAATTTGCAGTTGACCAGGTGTAATTAATAAAGTGGCCAGTGAGTGTAAGGTTTAATTGCACTTCTAGTCCCTGTCCAAGTAGTTTCATGTGTTCCTATAACCTGACAGTGCCTCACAATGTGTATTACTGTTCTCAAAGTAAATGTCGTCATTTGTCACGAATTAAATCTGTCACATGAGAAAGAGAACGTAATTTCGTACATAACTTAGATTAGTTTATTTCTTAATCATAATGTACATTGAAAATAAACATTTTATAATCACAAATAAAACAAAAAAAATGTGTTTTAATTCAAATCATGTAATCGGGTGGTAGATATTCAATACAGAAATCAGAGCATGCCAACAAATACATAATCACCTCCTTACACGTTACCATCTCGCACACAATTGAATTAAAACCATTTAATTCAAATACAACCCAAGAGCATGTTACCTCCTTCTGTTCTTTCCCCTATATTCTACTGCCCAGCTTCACATATTCCTCAAAGAAATAAACTCAATCATGTATGTTAAGAGTATGAAACAGATCAGCTGACATGTACTGCAAGGCTCTTGGTTTTAGGCACCGTGTCTATTGTTCAACTGTTTGCCTGCACGTTTTCACACGAAGCTTGTACACAACACAAGTCCTGTGTTTTAAATGCAAGATCAGGATGCTTCGGTTAAAATATCATGAAGGTTAATTCAGAGGGTGACAGTGACAGTTATGTTGTACACAGCCATTCAAAGTTATTAAACCCCATATCTCTGCCCTTAAATCTCAAGAAAAGTGAACACCACTGATGGCCAGTGTGCCACAGATGGGAAAGCGAAGCACTTTTGCAGTTTGGAGCAGCTCCGGTGAACTGAAGGTGCAGAAAAGAATGTGAAATTATCTCATTCTTGTTTGAACTCTTTCACCCCATAAAGATGACATTTCACAACCTGCCCAGTACCCTTAATGATAAGTTTTGACAGCTCAGTATATATCAATTACAACGACCATTGCACATGCAGTGCACCCTCGTTAACTTCTAATGCAAACTAGGGCTGCCACAAACGATTATTTCGATAGTCGACTAGTCACCGATTATTTTTGCGATTAGTCGACTAATCAGATCATGCATCCATTGGACGTAAAACTACAGCTTATTACACCAGCATGCATCTGCTCTCACATAATCATTAGCTTACAGCTTGAAGTGTTTAAAGTATGTTCTAATTGAAAATAAAGACAAGATGAAAGTTTATTAAGCTTTTAATGAAATTTGCAGATTGTCTCGGTGGGGTTTAATAAACTCAGCCATCTGCTCTTTGCTCCCTAAAATATAACAGGACACTGGAATAAATTCTCCACCATCTCACTGTTTAATCAGTTTTCTGTTTGATGTTTATTCAGCTGTGTGAAAACTAGAACTACTCAGGAACAAATAAAACACTGAAAAAAGACAAATACCATTTTTAAGTAATCTAAGTGACTTATATATCATGTTTAACCTGAGTAGCGAAAGACTGCGGGGGTCTGACAACAATGTGCCGGAAGTTCGGTGTTCTCGCCGGCTCGAGTGAGCCTTGACCACCCGGTCAGCTATCAAGCTGGTGGGTAACAGATGTGTCCGAAAACATTGGAGCACTTTTGCAAATATGTGATGTGTTGATAAATCGAGCAGATATTTGAAGTTCACACAGCTACATTCTCACCTGAAAATATCTTAAAAGTTTATTTTGTGACCCAGAAAGAGTAATATTAAAACTAAGTAGCTGCCGCCATTGTTGGAAACTGGAATTGGCTGAGCCATAGTATGAATTTTGGAATAGGTTGGGCCGGAAGCATACACCAGACCCATCCTTCAAATCTGGGGAAAAGGAGGACGCATTTGGAGGAGTCCTCAAATTTCATTGTGTCGTCGTAACGTAATCGGCCTCAGAAGGATGTGGTCTCTGAATTTGGACAAAGCTACGATACCGAAGACTGCTTCTTCTTCTTCTTCTTCTTCTTCTTCGGCGTTTAACGGCAGCTGGCATCCTTGTAGATGCACTGCTGCCATCTTCTGTTTCAGTCTGCTTATTCCTGCATCTTTCAGGATATTAAAAATCTTCAAACTCAGGATCTTAC